TTAACTGTCGAATGCTATTTTGTAGTCCACAAAGCAGATGTAAAGATTTTTTTTACATTTATTCAAATATTTATTTATTAAAGTTTTAAGAATGAATATGTGGTCAGTCACTTGTTCAATATACTTCTCTAAAACTACCCTGATTGACACTGATTAAATCTTTTGACTCTATGAATATGGCCAATCTGTTTTGCAGCAGAGAAGTAAATAATGTACCTAAGCAACTTGAAACACATATACCTCTATAGTTATTATATTAAAATCGAAGAAATATAAGAAAGATTCCGTATTTTAGGAAATTTCCCACTTTGTAATATTTTATTAAATAGTTTTACAATAACAAGAACCATAGAAGAGGCACTATATTTAATAAACTCATCCAGTATCAAATCAGGACATCCAAACTTGCCAGATTTCAGTTTATCGATACCTTTTTAAACTTCATTACAAGTAAATGGGTAATCCAGAGAACAATGGGTGTTTTTCTTGTTTTCAAGTCAGTCACCAGAAAATTTAAGTTCTAAAAATCTGAGTTTAACAAAGATTTGTAGTGTTCCACCTATTACCATGATTACTGCTTTGATATAGGACTGGGTGTCTGTTGATTGTTATTTTTAAGAATGTTTATTGATTTCCAAAAGGACTTTGAGTCTTTATAGTCTAGACTATTAATTTGACTAATAAAAGTCCTATAAAACTCGGCTTTTAACCTCTTTTTTGTTTGCTTATTCTAATGTTTTACACAATTTGAATAAGTTTGACAAAGGTATACATCATTGTTGTCTTTTTGCAATCTTTTACCAAGAGAACTAACTTCTTTCCTCAGTAAAAGACAATCGTTAGACAATCTTCCTAATTCGGACATAACAGCAAAATTGCTTGCTTTTGTTAACCCCAAGTATATATTTCACAAATTTAGTGTGGGCATCAGTGTTGAACTTAATTTGGGCTTCAGACAGTCTATAGCTTTTCATTGGCTACACAATGTTCTTGAGCATTTTACACCCACACAAATTAAATATTGTAAAGTATTGCTGTTACACGTGGACATTTTTTTTATACCAGCATAAAAAATTAAAGACAGAAAGTATAATAACTGTAATGAGTGGCACGATATTTCGCCGACAATAACAGAGAACTGTAAAACAAATACTATATAAGCTTACAATTAAAAACAATAATATTTAATATTAATGCACACGTGAACAAAACAGACATACAGTATTGAATTACAAACTAACCAGGAGGAGTGACTCTCACATTTATAATTTTTATAAATCTACATAGTTTTTCAAGAACAATATAGTATCTCGAGCCCATTAATTGTTATAATTTATATACATTTTGACAAACAGTACAATACTGTGGTAAGAATCTCTAAGACTTTCTGTCTTGATTTAGAGCATTACATGACATGACATAATGATATTCACCACCGATGTCTCTTGATTCGCAAAGATGGCACAACCTATCATTTCTTGATATGTTGTTCCATCTCCTTCCCGTCTCAATAGGTAATCGGTGACTTCCACATCTAAATTTACACAATAAGAATTGATTATATATATATTGACAATTTGGAAAAATAACTTTCCAATCTAACATCAGTTTTAAAAATTCTATAGACAATAGACAATACTTTATTATTAAACCTCAGACACAAGAGGACATACTATACACATAAACACATTTGTATAATTATCGGTCCACAGGTAACACTTATCCATAAATAGCCGAAACTCCTGAAACTTTGTAAACGCACACGTGCTTATTTTACATTCTATCCTGTCGCTCACTGTTACGTAAATATGTTATACATGAAAACATAGGAAAACACCGCGCATGCTTTTTCTTGAGTTATAAATATTTTTACTAAGTAAGATAATCCAAAGGCAACAACAAAATTGAAAAACGGAGATATCCAAATCAGTAATTGTCGATTAATATTAATTTACACGGGAATCTTTATCACAGGAGGGGGGCACTTCGACCTTTTCATGGTAGGGATGAGTAGCTGAGATATCCAATACCCACCCTTTTCATATATTTTGAATAACAAAAGAACATACCCTATAGCTATGATATTTTTTTTTACAATAAGTATGCCTACATATAGCTATCATTGTTACGCTATTTCATGGGGAGATAAATAGTTTTGACAAATATCTTATGCCATTTACATATTTACGACAGTGCCGATTTTTAATTGCATCTGTAAAAAAAATATCGAAATCTGATTAGTTTCAGATTCAATCATCAACCTTGACTTATACTTCACCTAAATTTCTTGACCTCATCAAATATCATGAAGCTTAAAATAGTGACCTATTCCAGTGGCTCATCCCTTCCACTCATCTCATAATACGTGCAACCCCCCCCCCCCTCCGCCCCTCTACACACACACACCCCAAGATCTTTAGGGAAGGGTTTGGGCTGGGTTGGACGTTGTCTAGCTCTCCCTAGCTCTTCATATCAAGATAGCAGACGTTGAAAAACAGAAGACAAACGGGAGAATATAAGAAGAATAAAAAACTACTCTCAGACGATAAAAGCAATTATATATATAAAAAAGAAGATGTGGTATGATTGCCAATGAGACAACTCTCCACAAGAGACATGATTGCCAATGAGACAACTCTCCACAAGAGACATGTATGCTAACATATTTTATGCAATGCTTAATTGCTATGAATGATTTTAAAGGAGATGTAAAGTATACATAATAAATTTAGACAGTAACCCAATTAAACAACAAACAAAACAATTTACTTCTAAAGTCTTCTACAATGGACATGTCATTACATATTTTTAGTTTTTAATCCTCCCAAGTCTAGCTATAATATATAGAATAGTTGTTAATACATGTAAAAATTTATCTTAATAGCAAAACATGAATTCATATATTACTAAAAACAATGAGCAGGTTCAGCAACAAACTTCTAATATTTGTTTTTAGGTTTATTGACTTTTTAAACTATACTATATGAGAGAAAGAGAAATAAAAGAAAATTATAAATTCAAAAGACGAAAATACTGTTGGCATTTTAAGATTATTCTTAATTGTATTTTTTCTACAAGAATTGTCAAACAAGTATAAACATACATATACTATGATCATAAAACAAAAAAGACATTTATATATGTCAACATACGAACGGTCTCCCACAAAAGATCATGTTAAGCTTTGATTGGTAAGTACGATAAGGGCCTTATTCGCACCCAACATTAAATGGTATAGTAAATAAATATGAAGACATGTACAAGTAAAACAATAACAATAACAAACGATACAGTATTAAATTGTATGCTTAATAACATTTTTGATAAAATTTGTTGATTCTATTATGTTGATGGCCTCATAGTGAAATCTAAAATAGCATTGCAGGACTTATCACCTTCTTTATAACCAATGACATTATTATAATTTTAATAAGAATGGCGAAACTACAATGTTTTGAATTTCAGGCGCTTACAATAGGTCTTACATAACAAATTACCCTTTTGAGTATTTTTTCTCAAAAAAAGTATATTTAAGAAGTCCAATAAAACCAAATAATCTCAAAAGAGAAAAATTTAATTGTAAGGATGCCCATTATTCAAATATAGAAAAAGATGCGTGGGGCATTCCACATTGCAGTCCAACTACAATGAATAGATAAGATCTTCAACACGACAACAAAAAATAACCATACATATGTAATTTAAAAGCTTTACATTTTAAGGATCATTTTGAAAATATGTGAGAAACCGTTGGAAATATATTATTTGTGTTCTTATATGTTTTAGTTTTACTACGTTTCACTCTCTACACTTTTCGATGCCTATTATGAATGAAAAACATTCCGGTGGAATCGGCCATACTTTTCTAACACAAAGAAATAAACAAACAATCAAAGAAAAATTAACGAAAAACATATCTGTTTGAAAAATAAAATCGATAAAAAGGTACAAACGCAGATGATTAAGACATTACCCCTTCCTTTCCAGTGTTAATACAGTCCCCCCAAAAGAAATTGGTAAATCTAAAAAAAAATGTATTAGCCTTTTATAATTTTTGTAATCCACTACAATTTATATGCAAGGCTATTCTGAATGAATTAAACTACAAAGCGAAAACATTTTCCACTTTCATCAGCTATGAGACGGCTACCTTTTTAGAAAAGCTATTACTTGTCAATACATTAACATTAAACATAATATTGAATGAATGGTAAAATACAGCAAAATATTAATTTACAAATTACCATAACATTCAACTCAAAAAGACAAACAAAAATCATAAATATCTATTAAGTATTTTTAAAAATGTAGCTAAGTTTTTGTAAAGTTCAACATGACAAAATGTTAAAAGCCGCTTTAATTTGTACTCCGTTGGATTTGTAGTATAATATTGTGTTATATATTTATTTCTAAGGTTTATTGTTTCCTGTTTTTGACATTTAAATAGATAATGAAATTCGTCTCCTACTCCATTTCCACAGAGATAACAAATTCTTTCATTTTTTGGTATCCGAGACAATCTTCCCGTTTCTATGGGAAATTTTAAATTTGAGCATCTGAACTTTGCTATATAAAATCCTGTCCTGTTAGGTTTCCAAACGAAAGTCCTGTTTATGTTCTGAATAAAATACACCTCTTGGAGAGTTATTCATTTGGAAAAACCAATGTTGGATAAACTGATCATTTAGTTGTCGTGAAATTATTTTCTTTAAACCCAGTTTATCTAATTGAAGTTGATCTTGCCAAATAAAACTAAATCCACTTTCGTCAAATATGGATTTAACATACGTAATCCATTTAAATTTTGTGGGATACGGAAAAATATCTAGATATTTGTGAATTAGCTTTGAACTTAATCATGGTTTGCATAACTCATGAGAAAAATAATGTAATGCAACAACTATATGAAATGATAGTTAGTACATTCTAAATAATTGATTGATAATTTGCTGTCGGTTTGTTTGCAGCAAAATTCTTCTAATTTTTTTAATTTTTTCCAGAAAATACCAATGGAAGTAATGCATCAATCCAAAATACTTCATCAGCTGACAGACCTTTTGTTCACGCAACAAGCTTTCCCGATATTATTCCTGATATTGATGAAGGTAAATCTAAGATTTTCACAGCATTATTTGGGGTCGCCAATGCCCAGTTATTATGAAAAATATATATTTTGAATGAGTTACTGATTAAATAAGAAATTTAACTTCAGTGCCCTTGAAATTCTTAGCGTCCTTTGAAATGACACTAGCGTCAATCAGAACGTAAAAAACAGTGGCGTACCCATAATGGAATACTATTTTTACATTTGTTGATTGTTATATGTTATAGTAATACGGGCTATTTTGAAGTAGTTTATTGGTGTGTTAACTCGGTCGACTCATACACACAATCTGAATAAAGTCCTTGTTGATGTGTTACATATTTGTTTTTCGTTCATTTTTTGTACATAAATTAGGCCATTAGTTTTCTCGTTTGAATTGTTTTACATTTGTCATTTCGGGGCCTTTTATAGCTGACTATGCGGTATGGGCTTTGTTCATTGTTGAAGGCCGTACGGTGACCTATAGTTGTTAATTTCTGTGTCATTTGGTCTCTTGTGAAGAGTTGTCTCATTGGCAATCATACCACATCTTCTTTTTTATACTTAAGGCTATATGTTAGGATTATGACTTAAAGGCCGAGTTTACACATCTATAAACTATTAATGAAGTTTGTGAGTGAATCGGCCAAGTTTACACATAAATATACTTCCTTTAGAAATGATATTTATTACTTATTATTCTAATAAAATGCTCAAGAAATATGTCAGGACCGAAACTTTCGTCAACATTTACTGACATTTTTTGCTTGTTAAGGAATTAATACTACAAAACACAACATACAAAATTGAAGACGGAACAACATGAAACCCACCAAACACCGGGGTGATTTCAGGTGCTCCGGAATGATTAGCAGATCCTGCTCCACGTGTGGCACTCGTCGTGTTACTCTTTAAATTTATTACATCACATAATAAGGCATCACGCAATAACGGATTGGTATATTTACTCTTATCTAACCCTAAGACATCACCAATTTCGTAAACCATCTGTCTTGCTAATTGTCTAACCCTGAAACTTGTACAGACATTCGAATACTTAAATATTACCAGCCCAGGCGAAGGTATATTTTAGAAATTAGACGCAAGATATTTCAAAGCGGCTTAGCTCTTCCAATGTGCAAATATAACCATACTTGTTTTCTTCAAACAAATAAAGCATGATATTTTTATTTCACAGGATTAGTGGCTGGTATGTCCTTACTTGTGATCGGAACGTTTGCTTCCTGTATAGTAATCGTTGTCATCAGGTAAAATCTATTTTTTCAAGAAATATTTTTCTGTCCTGAAATTTGAAATACCCGTGACTGGTTAAAGAAATCAAAATCATGATTTGGAAAATATTGTTCAAGCTAACTAGTTAAAAAGTAAATTACACGGCTGGTCGGTACTTACCAGCGGAATTGTAGCTTAAATAGTCCTTGATAGATGGTTCGCAAATTTTTAAAAAATATTCCAAGAACACTACGAGTTACGGTTCCACAGCTAGTCAGGACTATTACATGAAGTCAATCACTTCGAGTGTTCATATAATGAATAAGATAAAGAGATTTTACCTATAAATTTAATAGTTTATTTGTATTTATTTAGCTAGCAAAACTCTCTGTGTTCATATTACTTTGGAGTTTCAAACAGCTGTCCAGATAATACAGAAAGAGATTAAATTTTCATGATTTTGAAATTTTGTATTAATACCACTATCATCAGATTAGAACTCATTGTTTCGTCATTCCGATGTTTTGTTGCGTACATTTTTCAGCCTGTAAAAGTTTTTTTTTCTAAAACTAAGGTTGCAACTCCTTCTGACAATATTGACGTCTATTGGTGGCGGTGGATATATTTTTATGCCTTATTCACTTTAAATTCAAATTCTCTTCTTAACCTAGGTAATCTCAAGGCCAAAAGACGGGCATATAAATCACAAAAAAATACACAGGTTCTTGGCTAGTGGTCCCCTCTTTTTTTTTTATGTGTTTTAATTTTTTTAATAAATATTCTGTAATATTTTAACTTTATTTTCACTAATTTAATGTGTTCTTAATAAAAAAAAATAAGGAGATGTAGTATGATTGCCACTGAGACAACTATCCACCAAAGTTCAAATGAAGTGGATGTAAGCAATCATATGTAACCGTACGGCCTTTAACAATGAGAAAAAACCCATACCGTATAGTCGGCTATAAAAGGCTCCGACATGAAAAATATTAAACAATTCAATTGAGAAAACTAAGGGCCTAATTTATAACAAAGCAATTTACGAAAAACAAATATGACAGACATGAACCAACGACAACCACTGAACTATTCGTTCCTGACTTGGGACCAGCACATAAAGAATATGGCGGGGTTAAACATCTTTCTCTTTTCCGTACGATATTACAATAACAGAAGTTTATAAATTTTGACTGTCTATTATTATTTTCCACAATAGAGGGTTAAAATTTATATACTATTGTTATTGTATTTCATATAGAAAGGAACAAGAACACATTAAATAGGTGAACATAAAAATTAAATTATTACAGAATATTTACTAATAAAATGAAGACACAATTTTTTTGGGGAAAAAGGGGGACCTATTCCCAAAGCGCCTGTGAACAAATACATATATACAATATGACTACTTTCATTCATCCTTTCACATAACTACAGGCAACTTACTAATTGGAATTGATTGATCAAAACACTTTCACACTGTGTTTAAACTACCCCGGCAAAAAATGTTTGGACTCAATAGTATCTAATATCCGGTACGGTGACGGACCATCAACAGACAGAGAAAAGGTAGGATTTCTGTTTATTTATTTGTTATTTTTATGATATTGTATATACATACACATATAACTATTTTCGATTGTGAGATGTAATATTTACTACAAGCGTTCTAGATTAACTGAGAAATAAGTAAAAAGGCACATCATAATGGTGAATTGAGTGAACCTTGCCTCTAATTTGTTTAATTTCACGTTAAATTGTGCACATTGTGTGGAAAGAAAGGTACGAAAAGAAAGATATTAACATAGAGCTTGCAGAACTAGTCACTTTGAGCACCTTACTATTTGTATTTCTCTGCATGGAACGAAAGAAATTGGTCATGTCAAAATGGAAGGACCCGGTTTTGTCAATGTGTAAAATTTCTCAAAGCAGGACCCGATTTTGTCATAGAAAATAATGCATAATCGGATAATGTAAATTATAATCCGCGGTTTAAACAGGAGTTTGATGGCTCGTTGGAAAACGATTCCTTTCAGAGGATAACTTATTATTTATTTGAATCCGTAAACACTTGAATTCCTGCTTATTGGAACAAAAATAATTTAATTTTTCTTTGTATAAAAACGAATACTTTAAAGGCGAAATATAAAGAAATGAAGGTTGTTACGCAATTTAAGTTTTTTATATGAATTATGTAAATTTAAGTGTTCAAAGTTGGATAGTGTACGGCCTTGAAAATTGAAGGGCATATTTGATATGTGATTTTCTTGGACAAAAGGATGGTTATCTTAATAAATATTCAACTGTACTTAGAGGGGGGGAGAGGGCAGTATGATCGTTTGAAAATAAATATTCTGAACACTAAATGTTCATTATAAAGCAAGAGAATAAGACAAATGTATATGTATACAGAATCGCCATAGAAAATGAATTTCCATGCGGCGCAAAGGATCACAATAATCATGCGTTTAAAATCTTATTACGCCTCCTTATAACTATTATACTAAGTATAAACTAGTATGATAGTCTCAGGCCATCCAGAAAATGCAGTAATGATTATTTTATTAATAATTTTATAAATAAACGGTTCTTTTATCTCTCCATTGTGTAATGATTATCGTACATTGACAATTGTTCTACATTTTAGTGACGTTGGTCAATTTTATAATTGTCAAAATGCAGGGGCGGATGGAAGATTTTTTAAAAAGCGGGCGTAATTCCATAAAACGGATTATATACTGCCGAGCGTAGCGAGGGGAATCTTCTTTTTTGACGATTTTATGCTAAAAAATCATATATAAATCCTGAAAAAACCATGATATAGTTATTTCTGGCCATCAAGGGGGGTGTAAGGAGGGAGGGGGGGGGGTACACCCACTACACTCCCTGGATCCGCGAGTGTTATAACATAGCTGTATCGTATACCATCATAAAATTTAATAAGAAACGAGAAAACAGACACATCCGCCAACTTTGGGTGCAAATCGCGCATATACTTTACAGGCTCTGTAATCGAATGAGTTAAGCCTTTTTCAACTGATTTTTTATAGTTTGTTCCTATGTTGTGCTGTTCCACCACTGTTTCAGGTTAGAGGAGGGTTGAGCGCTCACAAACATGTTTAACCCCGCCACATTCTTTATGTGCCAGTCCCAAGTCAGGAGCCTGTAGTTCAGTGGTTGTCGTTGGTTTATGTCTATCATATTTGTTTTTCGTAAATTGTTTTGTTATAAATTAGGCCGTTAGTTTTCTCAATTGAATTGTTCCGTATTTTTCATGTCGGGGCTTTTTATAGACGACTATACGGTATGGGTTTTTCTTATTACTGAAGGCCGTACTGTTGCCTATAATTGCTTACATCCACATCACTTGAACTTGGGTGGATAGTTGTCTCATTGGCAATCATACCACATCTCCTTTTTTATATCATAATGTTATATAAAAATTAAAGTAAATGCATGCTATAACGTATATATATTCCATTTAAACTTAGTTCGAAGATAATTACAAATTCGAAAAGTTCCCGATTAAAATAAATTTTAACACGACAGGTTTGTTTTACAATACATATGACTCATACATTGAATTTCCTTCGACGGACAATGTTCAGATCCGTATTAATGGTGCTTTTTATAAATTTGTAGTTTCAAAACAAAACAAAACCGGGTCCTATACAAAGACAAAACCGGGTCCTTATGTTGTAAACAACATTGACAAAACGGTATCCTTTCATTTTGACATGACCCAATTCTTTCGTTCCATGCACAGAAATACAAATAGTGAGGTGCTATAAAAAGTGACTAGTCTTGCAATCTCTATATAGATATAAGAAGATGTGGTATGAGTGCCAATGAGACAACTCTCCATCCAAGTCACAATTTATAAAAGTAAACCATTATAGGTCAAAGTACGGTCTTCGACGCGGAGCCTTGGCTCACACCGCACATCAAGCTATAAAGGGCCCCAAAAATTACTAGTGTTAAACCATTCAAACGGGAAAACCAACGGTCTAATCTATATAAAAAACGAGAAACGAGAAACACTTATGAACCACATCAACAAACGACAACTACTATGTTAAGATCTTTCTTTTCGTACCTTTCTTTCCGTACAATGTGCACAATTTAACGAGAAATTAAACAAATTAGAGGCAAGGTTCACTCAATTCACCATTATGATGTGCCTTTTTACTTATTTCTCCATTAATCTAGAACGCTTGTAGAAAATATTACATCTCACAATCGAAAATAGATATATGTGAATGTATAGTCTTCAATATCATAAAAACAACAAATAAATAAACAGAAATCCTACCTTTTCTCTGTCTGTTGTTGATCCGTCACCGTAACGGATATTAGATACTTTTGAGTCCAAACATTTTTTGCCGGGGTAGTTTAGGTGGCACGGTAGTATTTACATTCCGGAATTTAGGTTGCTCTTTTGTGTACCCTACTTAAGTCAATGTATCTGAACAGTGTGATTGGACCAAAAATACAATATCTGCTGAACATACTTTCTGAGGGATGAATCAGGTGTAGAAAAATATGAAATAGTTTTACATACAGGTGAAAATGAATTTTTGAGAATTTTTTTTAATTTTGTATTCACTGCATGATAAAAGACCTAAAAGCACTAGTGGCCTTAGGTTTTTTAAAATAGCAAAAAAAGTAAACGGTCATTATACATATTCAAATTATTTTTTTAATATGATAATGAAAGTACTTAAGTTAACTGAGTATGTAGAATTTTGGGCAGTGTTAGAAAGTGGTGAAAATTCTAAAAAGGCTATCATTATCCCTATGGGCCAGGAAATACTACCGTGCCACCTTAACTGGTATATATATGATGTACATTAAATTCATTAAGGTATTTTTATACCTATTCAATTTGTAAGTGTATCAATAAAAAGTTGACTAAGGGCAAATAGAATAAGAACAGCCCTTAAATTCCATCCCTGGGAGTGGAAATTGCTGATTCAGCAAATTTTGCCTGATCTGTGGGTACTAATGTCAAAATTTACCTAGAAATTAGAACTTTATAATTTTAATGTAACTAGCAATAGATTTTTAATTATAAATGCTCGCTTTAACTTTTCGCAGTGTCTGACACATGTGCAACCACTGGAATTTAAGACGCGACATATTTTATTTGCCTGTACATCCAATAATTTTCACCGAAATGAATGAAGTGCATAGTTTTTTATTTTTTTCCACAAAAATATAGCTGTACTAGTTTTCTATAGGTTTAATTTGTAGCTCTGTGGTAACATGACACCTGTGAGAGCTTTTTTGGGACCAGTAAGTGGTTAGGGGGTCCATTCTTATTCAATAAGCCTCCATATTTAGCTGAAATAGAGATAGCATGAGGGGTTTCTTAACATTGATAAGACAATTTTTTGGACAAAGAATGTGATTATCATTGTGTGTCAAGAAGTTATGTTAGCTTATTTATTTTCTATGCAAATGTCATGAATTGTTTTACTTTTCTGACCCTGAGTGGCACAAAAAAGGTAAATTGATTATGTAAGGGGACATTATTTAACTAAATGCATACATGAGAAAGAGACAAATAGCCAACTTAGAGATATATTCTAGTACATGTATTGTCAAAAAGATTTTAAAATAATAGTTTACTGCAATCTAATGAATCTTGGTGTGTTGCCTACATAATCTGGAAATGCTCAAATGAATGTAAGGCATGCTGTAAAATGTGGAATGGACTTTACTATCTTTTTTCATGATTTGGTACTTAAACTGTTTCTTTCAGTCAGATTAACTAGAAATAGAGTTGGAAATGTTATAATTCCTCCTGAATTATCATGTTTTACTCCTGTGCTGATTTGAAACATTGTATATTTGGTTTTTGTTCACTCCTTAAGTAAACGTGAAAAAATGAAAAAAACTATGAAAATCTGCCAGCTGTGGTAGGGGTATAAACTTTTAATTTTTTTGGTAAGAAATAAGTGTATACTAGTATTCTTTATTGCAATATGTTTCCAAGTAAGTAGTCTATGCATCAAAGGAGTTATGACTGGTTTCAAGTTTGTGATGTCTTTGTCAATTTAGACACAGTGTTTCATAAACATAATTAAACGGAGAGAAGAGTCAGTCCACCTGTCCTATTAAAGCTCCGTGTATTTATAATTTATTTGCTTTCCCCACATTTGTCTATTTGTGTCTGTTGTTAAAGATAAATAAATGAAAACGCTGAAAAAAACATTACATATTAGTTTCAATTGTAATTTTTCCTTACATTTAACTAAAAGTATATTGTCGTCCTGTTTTCATGTTATATTAATCCGTGTTATTGTTTTGGATAAAACAAAAATAATAAATGCATTAATTTAACTCCCTACACTGTGTACATTTATGTTAACTGTTCTCATTGCACCATCTACGATAAAATTAGTTTGTCTTTACATATGAGAAAGTATAGGGATTGAACTAAAATCGAAAGTGGTGTTCAAAAGATAGAATATAAAAATAAGGAGATATGGTATGATTGCCAACTATCCCGTTTACCAAAGAAACTATCCCTGACTTGGGATAGGTACGTATAGAATGTGACCGTGTATTGGCCTATAAATATCTATTGTTTGTGGGTTTTTTTTTGCTATCTGATTGTCTTATTCCAATCCATAAATTTCTTCTTTTATACATATACACACTATCTACCATTAGACCAGAGAAAATCCAATTAAAATTCATTTCGTATACTTTGACCGACCGTGCAAGACCCTCATGGGTAGTCATGGTCGTTAAAAAACCCTCTCGTCGTGGTATACTTTGGTATATATTTGTTATTATTGTTTGTTTGATTTTCCAGACGATGTTACAAGAAAAGACGACGAAAAAATGAAGGCGTTGTTTATGAAGAGGTTGAAGATGCAGCTACGTCTTGTTCTATTGAAGGATCCAGCAATATCAAAGTTTTAGTTGCAAGAGCCAGAAATATTAACAAATCAAGAATTGAACAAATTAATGAGGAATGGTTGAAGCAAGATTCTAAGACCAAAGCTGAAAGAAATGTAATGCAACCATCTTCACCAAAATCGGATAGAAGACCTTCGCTCCCAGAGCCAGAACGGATGCCATTTTCGAAAGAGTCGATAAAAAGTGTGAAACGGATAGTTATTGAGGATGAGGACGACGAGTATGCCACAGCTGAACCCGATGAGGACTTGTACAGCTTGGCTGACGGAGAGACAAAAAATGATATCACACCTCATAATATAGCTATAAAGAGACCAAGTATGCGAAAATTGAAATTACAAAGATCGTCTGCTTTTGATGTTGAAGATGAAGACCCATACGCAGATACACCAGAAGATGAATACGATACAGTAAATAGTCCTAGAGACCATAAACCCATAACCTATAATTATGGACAAAACAATGATAGTGAAGATGAGGACCATACTTATGAACTAACAGATGACCTAGATTATGATAAGGTTAGAAACGCTCGACCTCATATCGAAGCTATCCACCGTTCTAAATCGACACAAAGTCTTCGTGAGAATTTATCAACAACGAACTCAATTGAAGAAAATTGTCTTGAAGGAAATATATATAATGAGAGTTTTGATGGAGATTATGATATGTTGAACAAAACAAGGTTTCGTTTTACTATCTCCAGTGAAAATTACGACAGTGTAATATTACCATGGGAAAGAGGTGAAAACCGAAATGAAAAGGACAAAGAAAAGAAGCAAGAAATTGACGATTTTGATGCTCTTGAAAAACATGAACGTGCTCGAAGTAATTTGTACTCAGACATGGATTCTTTAGTGCAGACTAATGACCCTAATGAAAGTTCTAATCAAACATGTTGTGGTGATGAGACTAGTTCCTCCAAAAATACCGTGTCAAATGATGAGCAATCCATGCAAGAGATTAATGGAAACATTTTAGAGAATAAACCCGAGAATTCAGAAACGGGAAATGATATTGAACTTACAATTATAGATTTAGTTCAACAACATAAAACAGCCTCAAGTGATTCTCTTGTTTCTTCATCAGTTAAATCCGATGCTGGAAACTCTAGTGGTTCAAGTGATCCAGACATGAAAAACTCACTTCAGCCGCTTATAAGTGATGAGTTGTCAGTTCATGAAACACATCTTGATGACGACAATCAAAATTTGATTATTCAAAATAAGTGCTATGGACAAAAAATGGGAAACGGCAATATTCCTGACAACAAGTTAGGACCCAATGTACACGAACTTGAAGTATTAAGTAGTGTGTGATGAAGTTGTATATCTCATTTAAAAAGATTAGTAGTTAATTAATTAATTAGTTAATAAATGTAGAAAATAATATAGGTTACTTGTTGAGGATGTAAGCTCAGCTAGAACCTCTAGCCATTGAGTAATACATTGATTGATGTACTTGTAAAGTTAATTGCTTTTCCTATACTGACTTTTATTGTATCTTCTTTCATTTTATTTTTTTTAAATCTACTGATCGAGATTTAGATGTCTTTGATTTACTTTTGTCGTTGGGTTACAATCTCATTGACTTATACCCCACATCTCCTAGCTTTATTCATAGTTATTATTGTGTCCCTAAAATCGCAAAAGCGGTTAAATTCTCCAATACTATCATAAGTGTCAGCGGTAATTTTATTAATAAATATCATTATTATAATATAATTATTTATAAATAAATAGGATAGCGCAGTCAAGTCACTTATTTGGTGGTAGAAAACCGTTTGTGATGTTCCTATGGAATCATTGGCAAATGGAAATTGGCATATACGATTACAAAAATGGCAATTAACATGTAAACATATCGGATATTAAGAGCACCCTTTTAAAAAAGAATATTTTTCTCAATTCAACATTGTATAGATATCTTGTTGCAAAATATCTCTTTTGATTGATTGATTTTTTGCCATTTTTGTAACGTTTAGCGACAAATATCCTTCCGTCCCCTAAAATTGGTCATTACCCAAATTCGGTCACCTTGGGATTGAAAAGCTTTTAATTGTACGCTTGTTTACATTTCTTTGCACGTTTTTGCAATATGGTGGTGCAGGAATATATAATTTTTACACTTTGAAAGTGCTACGTACCTCAGATAAGTTTTTCCGAAGGAATTTTTTTTTTTGCGGGAAAATATACGGAATGCGCTTGCTTCCTAAATTCCATGTGTCAAGCTACGCAAGATTAACTGCAGTTTTTGGGGCTAATTAGACTTACTCTTACAAAGCTTTACCAAATAACACATGCTAAATTATGTAAAATGCATATTAAAAGGAAGAAACCAGTCAGCATTCTTCGTCAATCTATTTATATTTATGTATTCTCCGATGTACATATGTAGTATGTTTTAGTCACAAATCATATAAGTTGATTTATACAGTTTGAAATGAATTGAATTGAATTAATTGGTTGAAGTTGTTAGAAATATTAACATGCTTTATCATTTTTATATAAAAACAATATAAAACAATTTCCAACTAATTCTTGATCGAAAAAAAATCATTCGCATAGCCTGCAAGCTTGTCATATGATGATTTTTCTGGGATACCGATTTAAGGTTACGTTTTAAATTATCTGGCGCCATTGAAAAACACAAATGAATTAAAAAAAAAGCGCAACGTGTCGATATTTCATTGGGAAAATCAATTTAGTTTCGGTAATTTATTCATATTTGGTGTCTTAAAACTAAATTGTGGAAATGCCTTGTGTGACCGATTTATGGTACCACGTTGATATCTATGCAAATTAACAACAAGAGTGCACACGCTGAAATATCTCGCATGCTTTACTGGCCATTGATTTTATGTTGAAAATCTTATAGATAAAGGTTTTACTACAAGTATCACATAAGTTTAACATTTTTAAAGATCCATGACAATGAGATCAAAGTCCGATAAATCCTGTCAGACAGACATGTACACCTTTAAATTATTCCATACATCAAACATAGTTGACCTATTGCTTATGGTAATAAAACAAAAACTCAACAGTAACATCATGAAAATGGGGTCAAGGTCAGATGATACTGTCTAGACCGACATATACACCTTACAATCATTCAATACAACAAATATAGCTGAATTATTGCTATTAGTATATGAAAAACAGACCAAAACACAAAAACATAACGTTGACCAATGAACCACGAAAATGAGGTCAAGATCAGATGATACTGTCTAGACCGACACATATACATTAAAATTATTCTATACACCAAACATAGTTGACCTATTAAATTTACTTATAGTACTTGAAAAACAGATCAAAACACAAAAACTTAACATTGAGCAATGCACCATGAAAATGAGGTCAAGGTCAGATGAAACCTGCCAGACTGACATGTTCCCCTTACAATCATTCCATACCCCACATATAGTTGACCTTCTGCTTATAGTATCTGAGAAACGGACATAATCACGTAACTTAATTTAACCTTGATCACTGATCCATGAAATGAGGTCGAGGTCGTATGAACCCTGTCTGACGGACATGTAGACGTTGCAAGGAACCCGTATACCAAATAAAGTTATCATATTACTCATAATACGTGATAAATTCACATGGGAAAAAAAAAACTATAATTTATTTTCAAGCAGTCGCTGAACTATGAAAATGAGGTCAAGGACAATGGACATATGACAGACGGAAACTTCGTACCATAAGGTATCTGCATACAAGGTCTTCTACCTTCTGAAATATAAAGTTTTATACAAATAGTTTACGCCGCCAGCGCCGGATGATAATCCCTATATGTCTTGCAGGCGAGACAAACATTAAATAGATTGTGCAAAAAGGTCAAACCGGACGAAGGTAGGGACATTTTGACGGTCACTGAGAAAATGAGTATATTGGATAGGTGCACAAAGCCTTGCCACATGCCACCTTCGGACTTCTCGAAGATTTATTGCTAGTCACGCTTCGAGAAATTCATTAAACGTCACTAATCCGGTATGTTCAATTACCTCAGGTAAGTCAGATCTTGCATTTTCTAAACAGGAAGAAGTGTGGTAACCATAAATAGCAATTATATGAAGAACGATTTGGTAAAAAAAAAATGTGTGTCGCGTTTTTAAGGTCCTTCGGTACATCTCAGATTTTAGACTGCGAACTAAAAAATGACAAATATTGTCAAACATCCAAAAACTCAACAGTAACCACTGAACCATTAAAATCGGGTCAAGGTCAGATGATACTGTCTAGACCGACATATACACCTTACAATCATTCAATACAACAAATATAGCTGAATTATTGCTATTAGTATATGAAAAACAGACCAAAACACAAAAACATAACGTTGACCTATGAACCATGAAAATGAGGCCAAGATCAGATGATACTGTCTAGACCGACACATATACATTAAAATTATTCTATACACCAAATATAGTTGACCTATTAAATGTACTTATAGTACTTGAAAAACAGATCAAAACACAAAAACTTAACATTGAGCAATGAACCATGAAAATGAGGTCAAGGTCAGATGAAACCTGCCAGACTGACATGTTCCCCTTACAATCATTCCATACCCCACATATAGTTGACCTTCTGCTTATAGTATCTGAGAAACGGACATAATCACGTAACTTTAACCTTGATCACTGATCCATACTGATCTAAACAGAAAGAAGTGTGGTAACCATAAATAGCAATTATATGAAGAACGATTTGGTAAAAAAAAATGTGTGTCGCGTTTTTAAGGTCCTTCGGTACATCTCAGATTTTATACTGCGAACTAAAAAATGACAAATATTGTCAAACATCGAAAAATTTAGAAAAAAATGAAAAAATGTATGGCTGAAACTCGCATTGCTTTACCCCACTTTTCAGTAAAACAGTTTAAAACGTTATCATCGGATGTCGTTGTTCGGTGTGCGAGATGGCCTGGAAAGGTGCAAAGCTGCTGAGCCCGACTTGATGCTTTTGTGTATAGATATGATCATCATCATTTATGCTTGAAATTGATCATATTAGTGAAATTATTTATAATAAAGAAATTATGATCATAAATATTTTCAAGGCCTTTTGGTAAAAATTTGCATACAACTTTGGCTCGTTGAACTAAACTGAAAATCGAAAAAAAAAACAATGCATTTATCTCTTTTATTTTCTAAAATATTACTGATTGAAATATTCCAAAAAAGGTGAACATTTGTATAGAAAGCACATAAAATCGGCGAAAAAACGTTCTTAAATCTGTCTTAAAATCATCATAAATTTCCGTTTTAATGAAATAAAATAATCATATTATGATCACCGACTTCGTTTTTAGTGAACCTGTTACCTAGTTGGTAGGAGCTGACCGAGACGATTTTTATACAATTTATGACCGAAAAAATTATATGTTTACGATTTTAGGGGGAGCACACTCGCTACGCCCCCATAAACCCATCACTGTCATTCACAATGGATATACAAACACTGAAACTGGTAAATTTTCATTTCATATACTGTTATTTACACTGAATGCATTAATTATTCATCTGTTTACCTATACTGCAACTCCCTCCTATGTCAGGAGACCAATCTTAGTCGTAAGTTTTTTTTGTGAAACCGACTCCAGCAATATTATAAACCTGCTACAAATCATTCATTCTGTCAAAATTTAAGAGTTAAAACTTTTAAAACTGTACTAGAGATGCTAAACATCTTCTCTGGAGTATGTGACCCTATCTTCACTATTTACGTTTGCCACGATACACCATAAAAAAAAATCCATCATTCATATATAAAAGTTGCTTCTTCATTTTAAAAGGATAACACACGCTATATACAGTCCAGTCGTTCTTCATACAAATTTTAAAACTAAGTGGTTTTTTTATTAATGTTCCTGTACCAAGTCTATGCCTGTACCAATTCAGGAATATGACAGTTGTTTTCCATTCGTTTGTTGTGTTTGAGCTTTTGAGTTTGCCATTTGATAAGGGACTTTCCATTTTGATATTGTTTCTATCCTTTTCTTTGTGTTTTGTTCTATAAACCTGCATTTTGAGCATTCGACGATTAATTGACATAGATTTTCATTGCTAGTCATTAGTTCCTATGTAATGTCCTGATCCCACAGGTTTTCTATTAAAACTTCGTCTATGAGGTTTAAAAACTTACTTCTTATCCTCTGTAGTGCTGAACATGTTTCTAAACATAACAACTACTTATTGGAGTATTATTACTATGTAAAGGAGTTAGAATAGCTAGAATTTTGAAATTGGAGGTGTATAATAAGGGGTTCAATATACCATGGCAGGGGGGTCAAAATACCATGGCTAAGTAACATTTTTCAAACATCTTTTCCAGCATGTTAAATATATACCAACTACTTATTGGAGTAAAATTACTATGTAAAGGAGTTAGAATAGCTAGAGTTTTTGAAATTGGAGGTGTAATAGGGGGGGGGGGGGTCAATATACCATGGCAGGGGGGTCAAAATACCATGGCTAAGTTAAATTTTCCAAACACCTTTTTCAGCTTGTTAAATACATGACAACTACTTATTGGAGAATTATTACTATGTGAAGGAGTTAGAATAGCTAGAATTTTGAAATTGGAGGTGTATAGTAGAGGGTTCAATATACCTAGGCAGAGGAGTCAAAATACCATGGCTAAGTAAATTTTTCCAAACATCTTTTCAAGCATGTTAAATACATGCCAACTACTTTTTGGAGTATAATTACTATGTAAAGGAGTTAGAATAGCTAGAGTTTTTTTTAAATTAGAGGTGTATTAGGGGGGGTGTCAATATATCATGGCAGGGGGGTCAAGATACCATGGCTAAGTTAAATTTTCCAAACACCTTTTCCAGCATGTTAAATACATAACAACTACTTATTGGAGTATTATTACTATGTAAAGGAGTTAGAATAGCTAGAATTTTGAAATTGGAGGTGTATAGTAGGGTGTTCAATATACCATGGCAGGGGGGGGGGGTCAAAATACCATGGCCAAGGAAATTTTTCCAATTATCTTTTCCAGCATGTTAAATACATATCTACTACTAACTTGAGTATTATGATTATGTAAAGGAGTTAGAATAGCTAGAGTTTTTGAAATTGGAGGTGTATAGTAAGGGGTTCAATATACCATGGCAGGGGGGTCAAAATACCATTGCTAAGTAAAATTTTTCAAACATCTTTTCCAGCTTGTTAAATACATTACAACTACTTATTGGAGTATTATTACTATGTGAAGGAGTTAGAATAGCTAGAATTTTGAAATTGGAGGTGTATAGTAGGGGGTTCAATATACCAATGCAGAGGGGTCAAAATACCATGGCTAAGCAAAATTT